ATAACTCCGACTGGATTCGTCTGAAAGAAGAAAGTCATATACACCTAGGATGCATCGGGGGTGAGTGAAACACAGCCTAATTTTTATTTTTGGGTGAACTAACCCTTTAAGAGATCGTGTGTGAACGGGACCTTTTCAAAAATACCAGAAAATTCGTTCTGACAATTCACCAGAAGTTGTAACATTACCAGCAAATGACTGGTAATATGCTCTGTGTGAATGCAGAACGAGATTACCTGTATGAGTACGTACAAGTTCAGAACGCGATGATGTAAGACAGGATTATTATCATTGACTAAAACAAAAACTAAGGGGAAAAAAAAAAACATTTTCATTACTTGAAATAAAATATACATCCGTCACTCCTGGATCTAACCAAGGTTAATAGAGGTTCATAGAAACAATACCAACAAGCCAGAAAAAAAGGAGTGAGTCACTTTTCTCTCCCACGTGAGATTCTGAGGGAGCTGAGGGGCCCACAAATCGCCTCTGGCTCCGCTTTTGGAATCCTTCCCAGACAATTGCTGCTGATGTTGTTTGTTTGTCGTCTTTTGTCTTCAGGTGCAAAAATTCTGCTGAAGTGCTATTTTATAATAGAGACGGATAGATCTTTTCACCAGGTCTTCCTTTAGTTTACAATCCTACCCGTAATACTACCACCTTCTGTTGATGTGTATTTTCGGTTTGTAGGGGATTTCAGTGTTCTATAAAAGTATTCTTTTGTATATATGTTTATGCTATGTTTTGTGTGCTGCAGTGTATGTGTATGTACACACACATACTGCAGATGTATGTAATATAAGTCTACTTCTAATAAATTTATACTTCTTGCATAGAGTTTATTTTGCACTTGTTCTATTTATTTAATTGTCTGTCTAATAATTCAGATGCAATACGGTAACTGGAGAACCCAACATGCTGAGAGGGCTAAATATAGAATGATGATCATGTGATATCAGTAGAGCATATGTGTGTGTTACAGTACATACTACATACAACATTTAGAAACATTTACATCTATGTTTTTCTATTTTAGATTCGCATACAGCCTAAAAGTGGGATCTGGGAAGAAAACAAACACCCCTCATATGCAAAGAGCACATCTCGGCTTTCTGTGACCTAAAGACAAAGAGACATCCTGCAGCACCTGAACTGAGGAGCATCTCTATCCACTCCACCCTATTTATATATATATTTTTTTTAATGATCTCGGAACAGACGCAATGCAGTGATGACCCACAGCGATAGCAGGTCAATCACTGGAAAGTGGATGCAAATCTCAGCACAATCGGAAGAGTGTAGAAGCTTCTAGAAACATCTTGAACAGTGGTTCTCAACTATTTTGACTCAAAAGCCTCTCATTGTTTAACACAGTTTTCAGTGCCTAAGGTATAGGATATTTTGGCTAGTATTTCTGCTATAATTATGACAAAGAAATTGAAAACTAGCAGAAATAGTAATGGACGGGGAAAAAAGAAATATGATTTCTTCATTTTATGTATTTTAAGCATTTTAATATAGTTTTAATTTATTAATATTATTGATATCAGTTAAATAAATAATCATATATTCAACTGAATAATTTTAAGTCATCCTGCGGCCCCCTTGGAAGTTTTCTGAGGCCCCTAGTGGGTCTCAGCCCCTGGTTGAGAACCACTGATCTAGAATGCGAATACGAGTAAAGAGAAAGCCTTCTTAGTCCTTTTTCTGTAACCGCATATGAAAGAGAATATTTCCATTTAAATGTATCCATTTAAATAAGAGATGATTGGTGGCATTTAGTCCATGAGGGAAATACTGAATAATGTTTGTGTTTCTAGAAAGAATGCTACTAAACAAAACTAAACCAGCACTGACATCAAAAGATGGATGTTTTGTGCTCAATTGAGCGATGTTTTCCAAATAACTACACGTGATTGGCCCCGTCGGCTGAACGCGTGTGATTGACAGGTGATCCGGCAACTGAAGAGATGCCATCAAAGGTGTCATGCTTGTATTTGCTGACTGTGGTTTGCTGGGCCAGTGCACTGTGGTATCTCAGTGGCTCTCGTCATTCAACCACCTACGTGGGTCAGATGACCTTCATTCCCCGCAAACCGCTTCCGAGGCTCTCAAAGAACGACACGTTAAGCAATATCCGAACACGTACTCTGAACCCACACAATTTCAAGTTCCTCATAAACGAGCCCAACAAATGCGAAAGCACAACGCCCTTTCTTGTCCTCCTCATAAGCACCAACCACAAGGAGTTTGACGCCCGCCAGGCGATCCGGGAGACGTGGGGAGATGAGAACACGTTCGGCGACGTTCGAATTTTGACGCTGTTCCTTCTTGGGTACAGCACTGAACCTGTCCTCAACCAGATGGTGGAACAAGAGAGCCAGATCTTCCATGACATCCTAGTCGAGGACTTTGTGGATTCCTACCACAATTTGACCCTAAAGACTCTCATGGGCATGCGATGGGTGACCTCGTTCTGCCCCAACGCACAGTACGTCATGAAAACAGACAGTGATATATTTGTCAACATGGACAATTTAGTGTTTAACCTTCTGAGACCCAACATCAAACCAAGGCGACGCTTTTTCACAGGTCACGTGATAAACGGAGGACCCATACGTGACGTTCACAGCAAGTGGTTCATGTCCAGAGAGCTCTACCCTGATAGCAGGTACCCACCTTTTTGCTCTGGCACTGGATACGTCTTCTCTGGAGACATTGCAGAGCTGATTTATAAGACCTCCCTCCATACACAACTCCTACATCTGGAGGATGTGTACGTGGGACTGTGCCTGCGGAAACTAGGCGTTCACGCTTTCCAGAACAGTGGATTCAATCACTGGAAAATGTCCTACAGTCTCTGCCGCTACCGAAAAGTGTTAACTGTACATCAGATCTCACCAGAGGAGATACTGAGAATATGGAATGATATGTCCAATAAGAAACATCTCAAATGCTAGCAAATGCGAGATGGTTGCGGAATAATGTGATATTGAAAACATACCGGACTGTTTGTACAGATACAGCAATACAGTCCGTATACTTGCAACACAGACCACACTCATGAAGCCCATGTCAGTCTGTAGAGCAATATGCGCAGGGACATATGAACTGGATTCACAAGGTATTTGCAATGGTTATAATGGTTTTAAACTGGTGTTTTTGGCCTTACATACTTAACATTATTCATATACCAGGCCGCTGTGAATTGCTATATATGAATAATTCCAACTTTCAAATGAACACAGTATTATATGAGAAATAGCAGTGCAGTATTTACTATCCCAAATGTCTGCCATAAACATACATTTACTCTGTATATTGCTCTTAAAATGAATGATAACTAGATTACCCATGACAATGCATATTTATGTGTATTTCAAGCCTTTGCAAAGCAGTAGAGCTCCGTTTTATAACTGTGGGTCGGAAAATTATTGTGCTTTTTTTTAGGTTACAATTAAATAATTAATGCAAAAATAAATGGTATACACACACACTTTAATTCTGCATGCAGTACTCACTTTTTTTTTTTTGTAAAGGTGTTGTATTATTTTTTTTTATTATTATTTAAATTGTATATTTTATTATATAATTTTTTATATAATCTTTTTGTAAATATTTACCTCCTTTACTGTTTTTTCCCCAGAGGTTTTTCACCAAAATTTAGTTTGTGACTATTTTCCAATCTTTCTTTTACCCTTAATTAAATATTTCTGGAAGTTACAGTGTTTTCATAGTACAATTAACATTTTATTTAAAAAAATAATGAACATTGAATTGCTCATGATGACCTCTTTAACATAGGGAGCTAAGCAAAATACTCCAAGCAATCTGGCTAAATTTGAGAAACATGCATAAACCAGTCACCCAAGCATACTGTAACCCCATAATATCACTGGGACAAAAATGTTAACTTTCAATTTTACAAGTAGTAGGTACTTTGTACTTTTGACAACCATCTTGAGTGACTGAGTGCTGTATTACTGTATATTTAGCCATTCGATTGTACTGCTGATGGATGAATGAAACAGGATGGGGATTAAATCTGTCCTATATTGTAATGATGTAACACAAATGACATATTGCACATATGATAAGGCCATGTTGGGACCATGCACTTTATTTTTTTATCTGAAAACTCATGGACAGGCTCATTTACATTGCTAACTGTATATTTAATAAACATATCCACTTTTTCTAAAATAAAAGTGTCCCTGTAAAGGTGCCTCTGCATTTATTCTGACACTTCTTTTATCCTTAAACATGTCATCTGGAAGCAATTTAAGATAATTGTAAAATAATCCACTATGAATCTAATGTCGGATCAAAGTCAAATCAATCAATTTCTACAAACCCTACTTATCATATTGTTTTACCAGTGGCATTAGTTACAATCCAGGCATATCTGTTCAACATTGCTGACACCTATTGGCCAAGAAACGCCAAATCAACCTTGTACTGTACAAAGAGATCCATCCATCCATCCATTAATTTTCCAAACCACAAGAGAGCAATGTCAAATAATCTGATCCAGTAATACTATTCTGTTAGAGATTGTTGCCCAATTTTACCAATATTTGGGTGCTTACTGCATTCATTATTGGACACTGATTCTTCTAGATTCTGCCATTGGAAAAAAAATGTAAGCGTCTCTTAAAGAAAACAAGCAATAAGTAAATTTTCATGACCCTTTTAGTAAAAAATTAAACTGGTTTTACATGCATGATCATCATGTACATTGCCATCCTCCGTTGCAATAAACAAAGAAATATGATAAGGCCATGTTGGGACCATGCACTTTATTTTTTTATCTGAAAACTCATGGACAGGCTCATTTACATTGCTAACTGTATATTTAATAAACATATCCACTTTTTCTAAAATAAAAGTGTCCCTGTAAAGGTGCCTCTGCATTTATTCTGACACTTCTTTTATCCTTAAACATGTCATCTGGAAGCAATTTAAGATAATTGTAAAATAATCCACTATGAATCTAATGTCGGATCAAAGTCAAATCAATCAATTTCTACAAACCCTACTTATCATATTGTTTTACCAGTGGCATTAGTTACAATCCAGCCATATCTGTTCAACGTTGCTGACACCTATTGGCCAAGAAACGCCAAATCAACCTTGTACTGTACAAAGAGATCCATCCATCCATCCATTAATTTTCCAAACCACAAGAGAGCAATGTCAAATAATCTGATCCAGTAATACTATTCTGTTAGAGATTGTTGCCCAATTTTACCAATATTTGGGTGCCTACTGCATTCATTATTGGACACTGATTCTTCTAGATTCTGCCATTGGAAAAAAAATGCGTCTCTTAAAGAAAACAAGCAATAAGTAAATTTTCATGACCCTTTTAGTAAAAAATTAAACTGGTTTTACATGCATGATCATCATGTACATTGCCATCCTCCGTTGCAATAAACAAAGAATGTTTATGTTGCTAAACCCTGATTAAAATACAGCAGACATTTGGTAAAATGATAAAATTGGTGGTTGCGAAAATCACAGTGAATCAACATGACTATCTTAAACCTTTTCCTTGAATCTGCGTTAGGAAATCTTTAACCCTCGAGCAAAATTCTTGATGCCATGGTTTCCTATTATAACAGCAATAGCTAAAATCTATTAAGTGTTTCTAATCTATTAAGAAACACAATGTTTCTTCCTGAGGTGCTGTATGGTTGTGTGGTGGAGGGGTGGGTGGAGGAGCCTGAACCGCTCCGTCTGTGTCTGTCCAAGCCCCGGTGGAATGAATGAGGGCTGCAGCGACGAGTTTCGAGTCCTACATAGGTGCTGACCTGAGACGGACTCAGACTGAGCCTATGACTCTGAGCTCTGGACTCATACTCTTCTACTGATGTCTTCTTGTAGCTAAGAGAGAGACAGAGAAATATATTTTTAGAGTGTCATGGGAAGGCTAAGAAAGATGAAGAACTCTGTTTCAAAACCCTCTAAGCACAACATGGGCAACCACCCTCCAAGACCTAACTGTAACTTATGATACTCCATTCCTAACCAAAATGGAGCATCATAAGTTACAGTATTTGTATTAGGTTTAATCATGTGAAGTGCACAGTTGTTTCCAACCCACTTTTTTCAATTGGGAAGTAAGCTATTCCCTGTGAATGTGCAAGACTTAGGCCCTATGATTCATTAGCCACTATAAGTAAATAACTAGAAGAATAATGACGCGTAAACAGTAAAACTGTTGTAACAGTGTTACAGCCCAGTGTGTGACTACTAAATTAAAATGTGATAAATTCCAGTTTGCAACATCAACCAGCACAACAAGCTAAAATAACTAAGCAGTGGACACTTGAAGTCTTGAACATGGCTGCACTCACTTTTACATTAAAAATAAGGTGGAAAAAGTCAGTGTTAGCATGTTGCTAAGCTAACAACTCATGTAATCCATCTTGACTGATTGTGTGTCCATTCCTATATATTTATTGGATTGTGTACTGCAGATGAACTATCTTCTATTACAATGGTGTAACAAATATTCAAGTTTAAAATGGCTGTGCTTGCTTTTATATTAAATATAAGGTGAAAAAAAGACTTGTGTTAGCATGCTGCTAAGCTAACAACTCATGCCAAAAAATCACAACTCATAAAGAAGTAAGTCATATTAAATAATAATTTTGAATAAAAACAGATGTTAATTTAGATGTTATTTCATTAAGCACATTTTAGGTTACCTAACAGAACATTTATATTTAGTGCAGCTTGTAAGGAAGTATTATTTCCTTCCCGCTGTTTGAAACAGCCATTGTGTAAGGACTTCTATGATGTCTAAAAGGCCTAAATGGGCAATTCTCTTGGTTTTGGAACAGGGCTATAAAGTGTTCAGTGATGCATGCGGGTAGAATGCGAAGACTTCATCTCAGTGTAGTGTAGTGTGCACTCACAGTCGCAGCAGCAGAGAGGAGAGCACAACAGAGACAGATGAAGCTGCCATCGCAGCAGAGCCCATCCACGGCTGCAGAACCAGCCCAACCGGCATGAACACACCTGAAAATCAAGACTCAAACCAATAAACCACATCCATCTATTACAGAATGCAAACAGTACTTGCTAATGTCAAAAAAAAAAACAGTATGGTTGCTTCTGTTTACCTGCTGCGATAGGGATGCCAAGCAAGTTATAAATGAGAGCAAACACAAAGTTTATCCGGATTCTCTGCACTGTCTTTTTAGACAGCTCGATACTGGCCACCACATCCATCAAATCATTCTACATCAACAAAAACACATAATGAAGAGCTGAACATTTTAATTTCTGTTATTTTATAGAATCTCACCTTTGTTTCCTGATAAATAAATTGACTCACCCGTATTAGGACAATATCTGCTGCTTCAATGGCAACATCCATGCCCGTTCCTATGGCTATGCCCAGATCAGCATGGGCAAGAGCGGGCGAATCATTGACCCCATCGCCCACCATCGCAACTTTCAGACCTTGTTCCTGCAATTCCTGGACTTTTGCCACTTTATGGGAGGGCAAGACTTCCGCAAACACCTTGCTGATGCCCACCTGTATGAAGAAACAGTGTACCCAAATTTAAATACTAACGGACGTTAAGCGCGAATACAAAAGCACAAAATGCAAATTGGATGTCAGAAATGTGGCTTTTCCATGAGTGAAATTTTGTTCATAGAGAAGTTAGTTTCAAACCAAGCAGGTCTGACCAACTTGAACACGAGAGAAATCTGTTTTGGGAAATTTTTTGCCTTCATGTGTAAGTTCACAGATACCTACTAGAATGACTGGATTTCACCCATGAACTAAACCTTTAAAATGACAGCACCTTAATGAACATACTTTAATATTCTGCACTGTGCTGCTTATGGGGGAATAAGCAGCAACATGCTTGGGGGAAGTCGTGGCCTAATGGTTAGAGAGTCGGACTCGTAACCCAAAGGTTGCAGGTCCGAGTCTCGTACCGGCAGGGATTGTAGGTGGGGGGAGTGAATGTACAGCGCTCTCTCCCACCTTCAGTACCACGACTGAGGTGCCCTTGAGCAAGGCACCGAACCCCCAACTGCTCCCCGGGCGCCGCAGCAAAAAAATGGCTGCCCACTGCTCCGGGTGTGTGTGTGTGTTCACTGCTGTGTGTGTTCACTGCTGTGTGTGTGCACTTTGGATGGGATAAATGCAGAGCACTAATTCTGAGTATGGGTCACCATACTTGGCCACAAGTCACTTTCACTTCACTTATGTGCGAACATCTTAAGTTGAAATCTAGCATGTGATATTTGACATTATTTTGTGTTATTATATGATGCATTTTGCAAAATGCATTTTGGTACTAGGAAAAATGCAAATATGCATGTATGTATATGCACCTGTGTGGCGATGGCCTGGGCTGTGCGTCTGTTGTCTCCAGTGATCATGAAGACCTCTATTCCCATACTGCTCAGGGTGTGAACAGCTAGAGCCGACTCTTCCTTCACTGTGTCTGCTACAGCTAACATAGCACACAGCACACCTGAGAAACAGAGACAGAGAGACAGAGAACTGGGAAGATAAATAGTGATCTTGATCTTTTGAAACAAAAAGCTTGAAATAATCAAAAGTTTGACTAATAATAACAAAACTAAAATATGACATTATACTAACATTATAATGTATGTGGACCTCAGGGGACAAATGCATGATACTACCTTTTTAAAGTTAGATACACTGGCAAGTTCTTTTGATATATAGCCTTTTAGACAAAACATAATGTACCATCGATGGCCACAAGTATGGCCGTCTGTCCTTTAGTCTCATGGCTGTTCATGGCATCATCCACATCAGCTGTGACCTCCAAACCGTTCCTCATCATCCACTGTCTATTCCCGATCAAAACAGAGTACGAAGGGCTATCTGGAAAAACCCATATTCATATATCTGTACTGTAAATCTGTCTTCATAAAGAGTTTAATTTAACTGTTTTTTAGTTTAACTGGATTCACAAGGTATTTGCAATGGTTATAATGGTTTTAAACTGGTGTTTTTGGCCTTGCATACTTAACATTATTCATATACCAGGCCGCTGTGAATTGCTTTATATGAATAATTCCAACTTTCAAATGAACACACTATTATATGAGAAATAGCAGTGCAGTATTTACTATCCGAAATGTCTGCCATAAACATACATTTATTCTGTATATTGCTCTTAAAATGAATGATAACTAGATTACCCATGACATTTATGTGTATTTCAAGCCTTTGCAAAGCAGTAGAGCTCCGTTTTATAACTGTGGGTCGGAAAATGATTGTGCTTTTTTTTAGGTTACAATTAAATAATGAATGCAAAAATAGATGGTATACACACACACTTTAATTCTGCATGCAGTACTCATTGGGGGAATAAGCAGCAATATGCTTGGGGCCTAATGGTTAGAGAGTCGGACTCGTAACCCAAAGGTTGCAGGTTTGAGTCTCGTACCGGCAGGGATTGTAGGTGGGGGGAGTGAATGTACAGCACTCTCTCTCACCTTCAATACCACGACTGAGGTGCCCTTGAGCAAGGAACCGAACCCCCAACTGCTCCCCGGGCGCCGCAGCAAAAAAATGGCTGCCCACTGCTCCGGGTGTGTGTTCACGGTGTCTGTGTGTGTTCACTGCTGTGTGTGTTCACTGCTGTGTGTGTGCACTTTGGATGGGATAAATGCAGAGCACTAATTCTGAGTATGGGTCACCATACTTGGCCACAAGTCACTTTCACTTCACTTCACTTAAGTTGAAATCTAGCATGTGATATTTGACATTATTTTGTGTTATTATATGATGCATTTTGCAAAATTAAAGAGTTTAATTCATTCAAGGAAATTTGAGACACATTCACATGGAAATAAATAAAGGGGACATATAATGGAAAAAACAATTTTCCTTGCTCTTTTGAAATAAATTAAGAAAACATGCATGTAGATCTTCTCTAACATTCACAACATAAAGCTTTATGCTTTAAAACTACATAAACTCTGTTATGTTAATATTACATATATTACCAGTCAAAAATTGTAAAAGTTTTTGAAAGAAGTCTCTTATGCTCACCAAAGCTGCATTTATTTGACCAAAAATACAGTATAAATTGTAATATTGTGAAATATTGTTACAATTTAAAAGAAATGTTTTCTGGTCACCTGCGGCACACCTTTAGTGATGGTGCCCGTCTTATCAAACATAACAGCCCCAACCTGCAGGAACAGCAGAGAAGAGAGTCAAATTTTAACAGACTATCCAGTAAATCCTAAAAGAATCTGAAATGCTGAAAATTCAGTTTTACCATCACAGGAATAAATTACATTTTAAAATGTATTAAAATAGAAAACTAATATTTTAAATTGTAATAATATTTCATAATATCACTTTTTTATTGTATTTTTCATCACATAAATACAGTCTTGGTAGCATACAAAGCAATATTAATTTATGGAATTATTAATTTTATATAAAATATGTGAAAAAATAAAATGCTACCAAACATTAGAAAAGGCTATGAAAATACATCAAGTAATAAACAAAACTCACACTAAGAGGCAGCAAAAACACACATTTACCTTACCTGACCCTGAATTTGTCTCGGTGTCTGCCACCAGGCTGCTCTCATCTGTGGTGGCTCCTTGGAGGGTGACAAGAAGTGGTGTTTGCTTTGCTGCGGATGTGTTTGTTTCTTGTGTCTTTGGGCTGTCCTGCAGCAGATCCTCAATGTTGGAGACTTTACAGCTGATTCCACAGCCTGGAACAGCCTGGAAGTCATGGCAGTAGCCCAGAGTTTCTGTTCCCAGCTCCTACAGAGAGACAACCGGATTTAGAAACCTCCTTTAACACCTAAGAGCAGTTTTATTTATAAAAACAGATGGTTTAATCAGAAGTGGATGGGAAACAGGCTTTCCTGGATCTCAGGGACATTTGTATGAATGGCACATAATGCCCATAGGCTGCATCATACAAAACTGTACTGAAGTTTCAAAGTTTGTTGTGTCTGCTACTTTTCCCAAACCTCTTTGCAGTGTTTGGCGACAGCCATGCCTAGCGGGTGTTCACTGCTGGCCTCAGCGGTGCCCACCACAGCCAGAACCTTCCGAAGAGGAAGCCTTGCTCGGTCCCACAGGACCAGTACTCTGGTCACCTGCGGCACACCATTAGTGATGGTGCCCGTCTTATCAAACATAACAGCCCCAACCTGCAGGACCAGCAGAGAAGAGAGTCAAATTTTAACAGACTATCCAGTAAATCCTAAAAGAATCTGAACATTTTTTAGCATTTCTGAGCTGTATTTATGACTGCAGCCTATCACTCTGTATATGAATACAGATAATATACAGTTTTGTCCATAAAAAAAATAGAATACAGAATTTTATAAAATAATATATACAGTGGCGTGCAAAAGTTTGGGAACCCCTTGCAGAATCTGTGAAACAAAATACAAAATAAGAGTTCATACAAAATGCATGTTATTATTTTTTTTAGTACTGTCCTGAATAAGATATTTTACATAAAAGATGATTACATTTAGTCCACAAGAAAAAAAAATAGATGAAATTATTAAAATAACCCCATTCAAAAGTTTGGGAACCCTGGTTCTTAATACTGTGTGTGGGTTACCTGGATGATCCACGACTGTTTTTTTGTTTTTTTTTGTGATGGTTGTTCATGAGTCCCTTGTTTGTTCTGAACAGTTAAACTGAGCACTGTTCTTCAGAAAAAATCCTCCAGCTCCTGCAGATTCTTCAGTTTTCCAGCATCTTTTGCATATTTGAACCCTTTCCAGCAGTGACTGTATGATTTTGAGATCCATCTTTTCACACTGAGACAATGGAGGGACTCAAAACACAACTATAAAAAAGGTTCAAACATTCACTGATTCACTTCGGAAGCAACAGAAGATACTTGCATGTTTCCCCGGAAGGCAAATTAAGTGCAATTTACCTTGATCTTCAAATTCAAAAAGTTTCAAAAGTTCAAACATTCACTGATGCTCCAGAAGGAAACACGACGCATTAAGAGCCTTTAGGTTTGAACTTTTTGAATTTGAAGATCAAGGTAAATTGTACTTAATTTGTCTTCCGGGAAACATGCAAGTATCTTCTGTTGCTTC